GGTGGCCCAGGCAGAGCTTAGAGGCATATGTACATGGAAGGGATAGGAGAGGAAGAGGAACCTGAGAAGGAGCAGCCACAGTGTTGGACACCCAGAGTGGGGCCCGTAGCCAACGGAAGTGGGTCTCAGCAAGGGAGAAATCACCACAGCCTCAGATGCCCTAGAAGATCAGGCCAAGTCAGGCCTAAAAAGGTTTGAATTTAGTGACACAAAGGCCATTAGTGACCTGGAAAATTGCAATTATTTTTGCTAGTGAAATACACTTAATAGCATTGTTCCCCTACACTCTGGATTAAAAGGAGTGTCCTACTGGGTCAAGAAGAGCCTCTGTCACCACAGTCCAATCTTAGCAGTGGGTAAAGGTGAGATCAAGTGACCCAGGTCTGAAAGGCCCTGGTCTCACCCTTGGCAAGGCAGGGGAAGCATGATATTCCCACCTGTAATAAGACAGTCACCCTGCCACCAGCTAAAGATGACTGTAAGCTAGAAGTTTAGAAAGGGATTGTTGGATCTCAAGGGCTTTAGTTAAGTAGAACTAGAGTTGACAGCTTAGTAGTTACTCTAGAATCAGGCCCTGCTATAAGTGGCCAAGGAGATTGGCAGTGGGAACCAAAAAAGCATCTGCAGGGTCAGAGATGTGACTGTGTACAAGGCTGAGAAAATTCCTGACAGAACTTATTAATCCATAGCAAGAATGTGGCTTCTATGGAATCAGAAGACGTAGAGAGGCATTTCTAGCTGTGGTCCACTGAGACGAAAAATTGGGTTGTATCATGTCCTAAAGTTATGGTGACATTAGCGGGGGTGAGGGGTGGTAATAAAAGGAGGAAAGGCTCTAAATTTGAATCCAGCTTTATTACTTACCAGCCAGGTAAACCTGGACAAGTGACTTGGAACCTCTCTGAGCCTCAGATGATCCATCTGTGAAATATGGTGTACATGGCTATTGCCAAAGCTACATTAATGTGTGTGGAGACCCTGGCACAAAGGAGACATTAAACAAATGGCCACTGCCGCTGTCCTTGTTATCATTTTTGTGATCATCAATGTCAACATTGCATTTATGTTGTTATAAATTATAAAACACTAGACATGTTCTCATTGAAGTAAAAACAGATTTCAGCTCAACTTGCTCCCATGCAGTAAGGTTTTGTAACTGTCCTCTTTCATAGCATTAGTAACATTATATTGTCACCACATTGGTATATCTGCCAACCACCTTAGGCTGTGAGCTCCTCTAATGGAGGGCTTACCTCTTACAGAGGTCCAGTGCTGAAATAAACTAGGGCTCTATTTCTGAGTGTCATGCATCTGTGTAAGGAAGTGGTTTCTCATGACCAAAGCTCTTCAGAAAGGGAGCAGTGGCTTCAAAATGTGAGCTCCACCCGCTTGAGACTGTGTCAGGGGCCACCTGGCAGGCACACGGGGGGAACAGCTGAATGGCTGAAAGACTGGTGTAGAAGATGGTTCTTAAGCCCCTGCTTTAGGTTTTGTTAGTGTTTTAATTAGATGAAGCAGTTATGATATCTTCTCAGGTTCATTCAGAGGAGCATTTGTATTCACTTAAGTCTATGGGCCCTGTGCAGAGTTTGCCAGGCATGGCTGGCCTGGGGACTCTTCCTCCCTCTCCTTCCACAGCTCTTCAGAATTCACAGTACTCACCTTAGCCCCAGGAGATGAAAATGTTTTAATGTAAAGAAAAAAATTTAAAGAATACTTTTATATGGAAGACGGTATTTTTTAAAACATCAAATTTGGCCTAAATGTTTTGGCAGCATATATTATATAATCTTTTGGATTTATATTTTCTCTTTCATAGAATAAAAACTACAGTACAACTACCTCAAGAGTTCTGCAAGTTCACATTATGTAAATATATGTAATAAAATATTTACTTATGGTTTCCATTAAAAATGTCCAAAGGAGAGAATACAAGAGCTTCTCTTTACTGGTTTTAGAGGCTCTCCTGGGAATTCTGAGTGAAATTTAAGCCTCTCAAATATGTTTTGATTGGCCTCCTTCATATTTTATCTCCTGTAATGAACTCTTTGTCAGTTTGTCAATTTTGACTAAGGACAGAAAGTTCATGTGTAGTAACAACACACAGACTGAATTTAAGATTATGGTTTATATCATGATGTAATAATCCTCTCTCTTTTCCTTTAGTCAATATTTACCTGTTAGGCCAATATATTATAATTCTCACTTCAAAAGAAGACACTTTGTTTTACCTTCTTCAAGTGTTGGTTTTAGATACTTGTAATATCAAAATTGGAAGTTGAGCCGTCTGAGACTCTTGGCCACATTCTCTTGGGGTTGAGTTTCTCGATCATCGCGGGGCAGGTTTCACTGTTCCCCATGACCCAGCAACACAGCTGCATGGCTCTCAGAATGAGGCAGCTGAACTTTGAGCCACACTGGTTTCTCTCAGCTTTCCAGACAGTCCTTTCTCCTCTGTGGGAAATTGGTCTGTTATCCCATAGCAGCCAGGATCTCTTAGGTGGACTTAGGTTTTTTCTAATGTGTTAATGTTAAAGGACTGGGCAGGAAAACCCAGTGAATGTCCAGTAGGAGGGTGGTCTCTGAGTGAAGAATGCTTTTCCTCCCCTGAACCCCTTAACTACCACATGTTTAAATGTTTTTCCATTTTAAAAACTGAGGGAAGAATCATCCCCCAGTGAAGAAGGAATAGGAGGACAATAAATAGCTATAAGATTTTCAGATAAATGTGTGAGACCTTATCCAGGTAACAGAGAAGCAAGTTTGTGATATGTTAGCAAACTCTTCTAAGTCAACTTGGGTATCAATCAGGATTCTTTCTTTTTGGGGGGCTTATAAACAACAAACATTTATTTCTTACAGTTCTGGAGGCTGGGAAGTCCAAGATCCAAGTGCCAACACATTTAGTGTCTATGAGAGTCTGCTTCCTAGTTCATAGATAGTGGTCTTCTCACTGTGACCTCACACGGTGGAGGACTCAAGGCAGGATTATGTCAGTGAGGTCACCATGACCGAATTATTCATGAATTGCCAAGTCCACAGGTAGTCTAGTTGCTAGTTCAACTGGATCCTGGAGTTCAAATGAGGTCATCATGATTTCTCCCTTTACTTCTTAGACCTCTTATTTACTATATTGGCATGATTATGTGACAAAGAAATTTCCTTGGCAACTCTGGATTTAACAATGGACCTTACTGTCTCTGGATTCTGAGAGAGACACTTTTTCCTGAAGTCCAAATTCAGTCCCTGAAAACAGACTCAGAATAGATCTACTTGAGTCATATACCTATGCCTAAACCAGTAACTGTGAACAGGGATGAGGTATAATAGAATTACATCAAGTATATATTTAAATTTAAACATTCACTTTTGTGCTCATATCACTTCTGTCTGCACACTTCTACACATTTATTTTACATGTGTGCTCTTTTTCATATTCTGTTCATTTTGTGCATTTTCATATATATATATGGAAATGTGTTTGTATGTGTAATTACATATACTACATTTGATAGATGATTTATAGGATTTTCAAGAGTAAATCTTAAATGCATAACCTCACTGGTCCCCAGCCCAGCTTTAGATGAAATTCCATTCGCCTGAATCATCTGACCATCTCTGGTGGAACTGATAGGGAAGGCAGTGCCTGTTGAAAAACAGCTCCACCAGTAAGGGAAAGGGCAGTTCTAAAAGGAAAACAAGTAGGGTCTTTTGCCAAAAGGGAAAAAGCAACTGGCAAACCAATTATTGATTTATTCACTCAACAGGTATTGCTGAGTGCCTACTGTGTGTCAGGCATTCTTCTAGGCACTGAGCCTACAAAAGTGAACTTTACACCAAATGCCCTTCCTTTCCGGAGCTTACACTGTAGGGAGAGCGACAGACATTGGAGTAACCCAGTGCAGATATGCTGTGATATCTGGTAGAGATGAGACCTCTGAAGAACGGTCATGGCAAGCATCTTCAGTTATGGGTTGGGTGTTTTAACAGTGCAGCTGGAGGAAACAGGGCAGAGAATCTCTTCTTGTTCTGGGATACTCTTCAGTTAGCCCTTATAAGGTAAGAAGGATCTTGATAGGCAAGTCCTGTTGAGTTATCTCAAGTGTAAAAAAAGCACAAGCCAGGCCAGCATCTGAGTGGGATGGAGTAAGACACGTTCTGGGAATGGGAAGAAATTTGCCATGACAGCTGCGTATAGAGCGTGTGGAGGTTAAGGTCATAAGGCTGGTGTGGTAGATTGGGTGAGACCATGCAAGAACAAGAGTAGCAGGCTAGGGAGTGGCATCACCAGATCCATGGTTATGAAGATGACTAGAAACAGTATGGAAGGTTGGGTAAGAGGCTGCCTGCATCAAGGGAGGAAGGCCACCTGTGGGACTGAAAGCAGGCTCTTGTCAGATGGACAGGACGGCAGAGCTTTCAGAGATAGAGTCTGCAGGATTTGGGGACCAACTTGCTTCTACTGACCTAAAGGACTTGTTCATCATCTAAAATGAGTCTTCCTTTGCCATTCTACTGATGTTTTGTCAAAGACAAGAAGCCTTTAGAAATGGGAAACACACCCAGCTGTCATGGCTCAGTGGTTGAGTATTTAACTATGAACCAGTAGGTCACAGTTCAGTTCCTGGTCAGAGCATATGCCTGGGTTGCGGACTTGATTCCCAATGTGGGACATGCAGGAGGCAGCTGATCAATGATTCTCTCTCATCATTGATGTTTCCATCTCTCTCTCCATCTCCTTTCCTCTCTGAAATCAGTAAAAATATTTTTTTTAAAAGAGAGAAGTGGGAAACATATTGTGAAAATGGTTAATGTTTGTTCAGGATAAAAATCTCATCGAGTAACAACAGTGAAGTTATGGGAGTAGGTGGAGTGCCCATTGACACTGGAAAGGGCCCCCAGTGGCCTCTGAGAGTGACATGCGTTCTTGGGAAGAGTTTCCGGGAGGGATTGCTGTTGCCTTCCAGACCAGGCTGATGGACCTTCTTGTGCCTTTACAGGCAACACCTATGAAGTGGGAGTTCACATCGCCGACGTCAGTTACTTTGTCCCTGAGGGCTCCGAATTGGATCAAGTGGCTGCTCAGAGAGCTACGAGTGTCTACTTGGTTCAGAAGGTAAAAATCAGTCTCTAGTTTCTTGGATTGAAAAATGTGCTTCTTCCCTTCTTTTAATTTTTTTTTTTATTTCTCTTTAAACAAAAAATTCCTGAGGAACAGCAACCTTGTCTGAACATCTTTTCTCACATCTAATAAGGTTTTTTTTTTAAAAAAAAGTTTTCCCTGGAAAAATACTTGTCCTCTATTATTGCATGTTTTCCTGTTAGGCCCTTATATATTCAAGAGGAACGAAATTAAAGAGATAGGAAGGCAAAACACAGATATTCATCCAGCCTTCATACAGGCCCTGCCACGTAAGTAATGCAGATAAGTAGTCAGCTTCAGCAAGAAATGAGGAAAAATAACTGCTTGCAAACTATCATTCCAAACAAAGCAGGGCTCAGCAAACTCAGCCACAGCAGCCACCATTTTTATAAACTTTTATTGTAACACAGTCACACCCATTCACTTATGTAATATCTATTAAATGGTCATACTATAGAAGAATGGAATGAAAGTTTACTACTAGTCTTTTAAGAAAAAGTTTTTTGTATTTTTTAAATAGATTTTAAAATTGATTTTTAGAGAGAGAGGAAGGCACCCTACTGGGATTGAGCCTGCAACCTGGGCATGTGCCTTGACTGGGATTTAAACTGGCAACCTTTTGTTGCACTGGACTCAACCAACTGAGCCACACCTCCCAGGGTGTTTTGACTCCTGTTCTAAAGGGTGGAGCTCATCTGCTCCTGCCCTGCCCTTTACAAGATACCCTGGATTCTCAGAGATGGAAAAGCAAAGGGAGCCAAGGATATACCATCTGCCTAGTCTTGATTCTGCCATTCCTGATGAGGCACTGAGTCTATAGGCCTCCTTTAACAAGTATTCAAATGGGCACCAGTGTCTTCCCGGCACTGCTCTTGGCCCTGGGGGCGGTGATGAATAAAAGACCATATGTGAGTTATTTCTACCCCCTTACTGAAGCTCATGAATTCTTCCAGGTTCTTTTCTCCTCCATTCATCTGCTTATTTGGTTATATCACGACTTTCACTTCCTTAGCTTCCTTAAATCCTATGGTCCAGTTTTAGATTGGTACCTATACTAGCTTGAACTTTCCCTCCTCCCATGCCCTCAGGACATGACTTCTGGTGTTTTCTCTTTGAATACACTAAGGTGAGAGGTATATTCCCACCATCCACCCACTCACATGAATATGGGAGTTGGGAACCTTTTACCTAGGGAGAGGATACAACAGCCCAGTCTCCCTCCACTGCCTAATCTGATTTTCAGCTCCCATTGCCAGCACACCTGTGTGCCTACACAGCTGGCAAAAGGAAAAGCCAGGCTATAAGCACTGCCCTCAAAAGCAGCATGTCTTGATAGGCCACTGTGGTTCTGGCTACCACCCCTCTAACTTCTGGGGAAATTCACTGTGCTGCCTACCCCAGATAGAAGCATTTAGATGGATAACTATAGGTTTGAGAAAACCACCTACATAGGGGTTCTGAAGAGGCCCTTGAAAGCCCTGATCTTTATGAACATCTTGGCACAAGCATTAAGACATGTCTGTAGGACAGCATTTCCCTTCTCTTAGTTATTGCTGACCTCTCTCTTTATTATCACCCCTTTAAAACTAGGGCTTGAAAAATGTGTATTCCTGGCCACCTGAGCCTCCATTTCCTGCTGTTCCCCAAAATGGGTTGGCCCTTTTATGGACATGCTGTCTAGACCCAGGCAGAGCAGGCCACCAGAGATCCATGTGCTGCTAATCCTAGAGATGTCACACCCCTAGGGTCCTAGGAATCAGACCACCTGCTCTTGTTATGCCTGGTCCCTGGCCATAGGGAAGGATGAGTATCATCCTGACAATGCTAACTGTGGTAGTGCATCTTTTTAGAAGCCAGTGTTCTCCTGGGTTCTGAAAATTGTCCCTGACTACTTCATGTCCATGCTCATAGATGGCCCCATCACACTATTGCCAAGGATATACCATCTGTGCCCATATCACAAATGTATAATTACCCTGGAACCCAAGGCTTGTAAGACTACCCAGCTATTATAGTATATAGTCAGCCCTCTGTATCCACTGATTTTGTATCCCTGGATCCAACCAACTACATATTTAAAACATTCGGGGGGAAAAACAGTTATGTTATTGCTGACATGTACTGTGTAGTTAGCCCTGTGATGGTTACGTCTGTACTAAACATGTACAGACTTTTTTTCTTGTTATTCCCCAAACAATACAGTATAACAACTATTTACATAGCATTTACATTGTATTAGGGATTATAAGTAATCTAGAGATGAGTTAAAGGTTGTGCATGGGTTCTATGCAAATGCTACATACAACATTTTATATAAGAGACTTGAGCATTTTTGGATTTTGGTATCTGTGGGAATTGTCCTGAAACCCGTCCCCCATGGATTCTGAGGGATGACTGCACTTCCTTTCAAGTCTGAAACCAAGGCTTCCTACAAATAGAGACGTCAACTGTGTCAAGGGTTTCTCAGCCTCTCTGTCTTTGCTGTGGAGCCCACTTCTGCCAGGACTTCTGTTGCTTCAATACAGCCATCATGGAAAGTTCCCATGATTCCCACAGACCCAAGACTTAATGTAGCTCTGCTCTGGTGTACAGAATTGGGTCATCCCCACCTCAGCCTTAGTGGGCATCATCTGTGACATGTGGAAGATGGACTTTCAAACATACCTCTGCCACGTCCAATAAACCTAATGTCATTTGACCTTTGAGTGCCCCAGCCGCATGCTAGCAATGCATGGACTACATTTACTATAGCCTCAGGTTGGAGATGTCTCATCCACATCCCCTGTCCGAAAATGCAGGACCTCTTAGGGAAGGGAGATGAGACTTCAAAATCACTTTTATCTACAAAACTATAATGTTATGATGGAAAGATAAATAAAAGTAGCAATCTCTGTACAGACCACATGAAAGTGCATAAAAGAAATGTTCTCCCCACATAGAAAAGCTTAACTGTGATCTTCAAATTCAAATATTTAGGAATTTTTGTCACAATGTGAGGTTCTTCTAAGCAGGTGTCTTTCTCTTATCTAACTGCTGCATTCTCTTTTTGTAACCAGGAATTTTGTTTCAAAATTAGAAAATGATGAAACAAAATTGGGTTAAATAACTAAGCATGTTTTCTGTTCTCTTTGATTTCCTGATTGTCACAGTTCTAGAATTTATTGTTGGGACTCTGCTCCTAAGCTCTGAAAGCAGGAGCTGGGTGGAGGAAGGGCCATCGTGCCTCTGAATGGCTGCGGGCTCCTGCCGCCTGCCGGCACTGCCCCAGCTTGGCAGGAGCGAGTGGCGCCGGCCTACAACCTTGGACAGCAGCAGCTGTGCCTCCGGATTCCTTGGAACCACAACTCTGACCTTTCTTCCTACTCGTTTTTGTTTCTTAAAGGACTGTGTCCAGGAACTCTTCTGCTGTTTTCACTTTACTTTGCCTATAAAGGTCTTCTTAAAAGCTGGATGAGCTGTGTTCCTCCTCCTCAGATCCTCTGCTCTCTCACTTGGCAGAATCATTGTCCCAACTCCATCAGATGGGGGAGGGAATATGTGTGGTGGGGGCAGGGGTGCCGGTTATTTTCCCACCTGGAAGGAACGTGGCACTAATTGTGTTCATTCAGTGCTACTGACCTGTGAGTGACTGATGTCAGATTGCAATCTAAGCTTGATGGGGCATGCAGGGCAGCAGATCTGGGTCCAAATACTGTCCTACTGCCTTCTAAATGAAATTCTTTTTGTTGGGACGTTATTCACAGAAATAAGTATTTGGTTATTCTTGTTAACACTAGGGTTTACTCAGGAGGAAAGATAAATTTAAATATCGTCCATTTAAATCCCTTGAAAAAAACACTTTTTTTTCTTTTTTAACAAAAGATATAACACCTTTTTTTAAAAAAAAAACAAAAGATATCTGTTAGGCTAGGGACTATTTGCCCTAACTTGGGCCTGTCCTTCTCAGAAGGACATGCCATCTACCCAGTTAATGTTTCCCACTGTCTTCTCTGAGAGAGAAATATAATGTAATTGTAAAACTTAAGGTAATTCTTTTAAATAAGTGAATTGAGTTTTAAAAGTAAAAGAAACCTAAACAGTTGAAACCTAAACCAAAAATTTCTGCCTATTGGCCCAAGCACTTGTGTTATTTTAGGTGTGAAACAGCTCAAATGAAAGTTCGCCCATAAATCTCTACGATATTTTATTGGTACTGCTTTATAATAGAGATCAAAGATTGGGATTGGAAGCCTGTCTTAATGTGGAGTCCAAAGAGTTTTAAGATGTTCCTTTCTGACCCCAGCAGGTTGTCAGAATGTTGATGTTTTGTTAATGTCAAACTGTGCAACACAGAGTTGATCAAATTCGAAATTCAAGGAAGTGTTGATGTGAAAAAGAAAATTCTTTAAACAGAGATGTTGGTTGGCAAGTGAATTATCTCTGTCTTTTAAGTTGCTTATGTGTGCGAGTTGGGAGCTAGCTGAGTGCACCTCATTGTTAAAACCTCGAAGTCCTCAGGAGAAAATTCACCACGTTCTCAGGCTCAGACAGCCAGTGGGCACTGAAGGTGTGAGGGAAGTTTGGGAGCCAGCAGTGGCCTGAGCTGAGGGGGACAGAAGAGCCCTCTACAGCCCCTCCCAGTTCTGGGCAACCCAGTTGTTGACAGCTGGCTTCCTTCAGCTATTGTAGCCCCTTGTCACTGCTTGTCACCTCCTGTTCCTCTTTGCCTAGCTGATTGATTCTTCTCCTCTGTGGCCCTTTCTGTTGGTCACAGGGCTGTCCTGGCTAACCCGTTGCTGAACTTGGCCAGCCTACCGCTGTGGCTTTCGCAGATGTTTCTGCTCTCTGAGGCTAATATAAGATTTTATAGTCTTGTTGGTACCCCCACCCAGCTGCCTTGGGCAGTGGTGTATTTACCTAAATGATCAATTTCTCTCAGCTCTCTTAAGCTCTAGTCCAGAATGCTTAGAAAGTCGGTATCCTATCTTCACTGT